CGCATTTACAAGTATTTATGAGTTATGTAATAAAAAATTTTGTTGGTCAACATCGAACAGAAGATTTTTGTTTGAATAAAAATAGACCTTGCCAAAGGATAGGTATTGACATTTTGCACCATTGTTAGCTTACAAGCATGCATGAGTATAAGGAATAAAATTCATTATTTAGATTATTAAGAATAATTCGGGTATATCGCCCATAAGTATTTTCGATTTATCAGAAAGTCTTGTCCAGTTGACATTGTAAATGCTAACAAACATTTTTTTTTTATCTTTCTTTTTAGACAGCCTCAAATTTGATACATACCATAAAATAAAACATTTTAATTTTGGGGAATTTACACATCGGGACCCAAATTTAAAAATAATTATGAATGAGGGCCCAACTTAAAAATATTTATTTATAAAGGCCTAATTTTTGAAAATATTACAAATACGGCCCTAATGTAATCACGGGATTGTTGCGGCAACGATTACTCACCTCACTCTATAACATGAAATTGTGGTTAAAGAAATTATATACAACTATCAAATTTATTTGTAATAAGCATTTATGTTATTTATTTGATATATATATATTTTTAAAAGTATGTAAAAAGAATAATAATTATACAAATTAAAAAAAAAATCGTTACATTAAATTAGCAAACATTTCAATGTAATTTTTATATGTATAGTATAAAGGCAGCATTTATATGAATGCAAGTTTCCATTAAGCATTGTAAATTAATTTTCATACTTCGTATATTATGGCCTTTTTTGCCGCATTTTTTGCAAGTGTTTTGGTCATCTGGTTCCATTTCTCTAAGTAAATATCATCCCAATTTGTAATGTGTTTGACATAATGCTATTATTTACAATCGAAGATGATGAGCAAATTGTTAGAAAATCAAGATGAAAGAAATTTATATTCATATATTGAATATATGATTCTAATTTACATTTGTTAATATGTAGTAACGATGACATTTCATATGTGCTAGAAGTAAAATTTGAGTTACATATGTATAAGTTAAATCATGATTGGGTGCTTAAGTCACAATGGGCACTAATTTATCGACGCAAATTTACTTGGGCCTGTATTTGTAATATTTTTAAAAATTAGGCCTTTATAAATAAATATTTTTAAGCTGGGCCCTCATTCATAATTATTTTCAAATTTGGGTCCCGATGTGTAAATTCCCCTTTAATTTTTCTTAATAGTTTAAAAGAAAAAAAAAATTCATTCAAATTGTAAGTTCATATTTATAATATTTAAAATTCTTGATACTATCAATCTCTTTATTTCTGCTTGTTCATCTCTGAATTATTATATTGGGATTAACTATTACAGTATTAATTCATTGTATTATTTGAAATATTTGCACACAAACTATGACTAGTTTTATTTTTTTTTCGTACTTTACGTTTCGGGATTTCTTGAGAATCATTCTCCTTATTTGTATCAATTCTTTGTTTGCTTGCTTTTCTTCGTTTCATGGATTCAGGTTGAACTCGAATCATTGCCCCACTTTTAATTCGTGAAGAATCCAGGTTATGATCATAAAGAAAGGTAGTTACTCGTCCAATTGATAGTGATTTGGCAGCCTTGTAGCGTTCAGCAAACTTATCAAATGCTTTTCGTATTTGTGAGCCATAGTTCTTATAATCGTCTTCAATTTCTTTTAAAAAATCATTGAAAGACGAGCTATCAAAATCTGCTTCCTGATCTTCCATTATACTAAAATAATCGATAAAAATAATGCAGCCATAGTAAGTAAAAATTATAAAAGAATAGCTTAAATTATAAATAAAAAACAAACCTGAATTCATTACTTGTGCCAACCTTGCTTTCTGTTAAAAAATTATTGAAAGATGAATCGTCAAAATATGCTTCCTGGTCTTTTATATTACTAGAATAATCGATAATAATAATGTGTTGATAGCAATAGTAAAAGGATAACTTAAATTATATACAAAATTGCAAACCTAAATTCATTATTTGCACCAATCCTGCTTTTTGCTATTGTTATAGCATTTGAATCATCATTTTCATTGCTATTTATAGGATTATGCTGATTGATTAAAGTAGGTTTTGTGCGTAACGATGCATAAAAAGAATGATCTTTCACATTAAGTCCTTAAAAAAAAAAAAATTAACTGTAACATTACATGCATATACTGTATATAGCTTTCATTATACCCAATATCGATACTAACCACTTGCAATGTGTGAAAAAGTCATGCGATCATCGGGTGTTAATGAAGATAAAAAGTTGATAATTCTGATGTGGCTACAGCACCTTGGTGCTTACACGGTGCACCTGACATTCCAATAAAACAATTACATGTTCCGATAGCACTATTTACGTTATAGATAAATCCTGATTCCTTTTTTGTACTTGGTACTAGGTATTCATCTGTATTTGCTAATTGACGAATTGAATCTTTATCAACAGTTTCCCAACCGGGACACAAGAATCTCTTCGCAATTTCCATATGACCAGCATGTCGATGTGCAAATCCATATAGACGACGTTCATAAAATCGTTCCATGTTTTTGGTGACAAAATAAAAAACCTGAACTGAATTATATGCTTTGGTTCTTGCAAAGATAATATCTTTGAGCAAACCAAAGCCACGTTCAATATAGTTATTTGTATGGTTACCACACAATAACAAATTTAATCTGAAAAAATGTGCCCAATACTGTCGTCGACTCCAAAGATGTTTATAATGATTTGCAAGTAATGGATATTGCTGATAATAATTATCCTTTAATTCTTGATAATAATCATTTATGTCAGTTTCCGTACGAGCATATAAAATTTTTTTCATTTGATTCATTATAATTACACGATGTTCTTTATTAATTCCATGTTTTGAATTGTAAAGCCAACGCCAGAATGCCTGTAATACGTGAAATGTACATAAAAGTATATTAGATTCTGGCCAACAAAGTTTTAGTGCATTTCGCTCTGCAGCTGAATCATCAGTTAAAATATTTTGAGGCCCAACGTCACATCCACGACCAAAAAATGCATGTTCAGGAAGAATTGATTTTAACAAATTAATTGCTTTTTCAATTGTTAATTCAAGTTCATCGGATGTAACAAATAGTCCTAATGGCAATGTACCTGCTATGCAACTTGTGTATAGAAGTGTTATTGATGTATTTAGGGGTTCGAATGATGCAGACGCGTCTACATAACAAATTTCTCCAGATTCACAGATTTTCTCATGCACTCTACTCATTAATCCCGTAACAATACATAGTATAAATGCTTTTCCCATTCGTGAATCATACTCTTGAAGAATTGCTTGTCCACGACCGGATGCATTATAATTCGAAACTTCCTCACTTAAACGCTGAAACATCAATTTCCCATTTTGTCCACCAAGCTGAGAATTACGATATTGTTCAAAAAGATGAATAACATAGGAATAATCTGGATTAATCGCACGATCAGCAAGAGTTTCAACAAGATTTTCATTTGATAAAGCTGAAAGATGTAACTCATCTTCATGAGTATACAAGGCAGAAGCAGGCGAATAACTATCGTGAAACATTTGTATAAATTTATTGCGTATTTCTTCATGCACGCGTCTAAAACTAAGTGACTCGGCACAATTAATAACATGATTATGTTTAAAGCGAATATTAACCTCCAAAGGATGGCTGGTATCTAAACGCCAATGTTCTAATCGTAAACACAAGGTTGCTATGCAACCTGTATTTCTATTACGTGCTGATTCTGGATACTTTCTTTGAGGATCACCTTGCTTTTTTCTAACATTATGGCTATGTATACAATGCCTTGATTCTCGAAGAATAACTCTTTTACCCTTGACTTGATATCCCTTCGTTTGCGGCATTGTGGTTTTTGAGTGTTCTTCGAAAGCGGAAAACCATACTTTTATCTCATCCACAGTTGAAACATTAACGAATGTATCAACTTCGAATTGCTGTACTTCAAAACCCTCGTAAGTATAATATGGTGGCAATTTTACGGTACGTCAGATCATATAGCTATAATTCAAAGGAAAAATAGCTTGCAAAAAATTCGGTAACATGACCCAAGAAAAAATCTAAGAGTATATATATTTAATTATTATCATTATATTGCGAAAAAAAATTGTATTTTTAAAACTCAATTACCTCACAAGAAGTTTCATCATTCGTATGATTATCAAAATTTGCAGTGTCTTGGATTGCTTCATAAGAATCAACATCTGATTTAGTACAGCCAATCTTTATAAATTATGAGAATAAGAAAATATATGAGTTTATAACATTTAAACAAATAGTAATAGTGATAGACAGATGCAAGCTTTAACTCACTTCGATGCCGTTATCTACTTCAGCGCTTTTATCCACTTCCGTGCTATCATCCACTTCCGTGCTATTATCCACTTCCGTGCCATCATCGACTTCCATGACTTTATCCACACCACTGCCTTTACACATTTTATCGCCTTTATCAACAGTTAAGTTCGAAGCATTCATTTGTATTATATTATTTGTAAATGTGTTGTTCATATAACTTGGAAATATATCCCTTGGATAACTTATAGGTGTATTCCACGTATGATGTGTGAATGTATTTTCCGTATTATATGTGAATGTATTTTCCGTATTATTTGTGAATGTATTTTCTGTATTATTTGTGAATGTATTTTCCATACAATTCGTGAACGTATCCTCCCTGACATAGTTTGTAAACATACTTTCATTCATATAATTGGTAAATGCGAAGGTCATGCTTTTAGTAGATACGAAGGTTGATTCTGCTAAGTAATATAAATTGTAAGTTACTATTTTAACAAAAATTACAAAAATTCTAATCCATTAATTACTTACATAAAATTTGAGTCCTTTTTTTTTTTTATTTGATTGTCTAACGTTTCCCACTTAATTTCTTATTTTTAATTTTTTTTTTATTTTTTTTTTATTTTTTTTATTTTATTTATTTATTTTTTATTTGATTTCTTGTTGACGTTCCTACCTAGTCGTTACTTAAAAGATTGTCGTTATACAAGTTATATCCTACGCTCTAATGATACTACGTTTTATATGTTTGAAATGCTCAAAGGTTTGTATTTATTATTTTAGGCACCTGCTTTTTATTCTTCACCGCTTCAACTTCCTAACACTAAACCTCTCCTTTGCCACCAAACTTTCTACACACACACACACAACGATATTTCTCGATGCTTGTTTTATTCAAGGTAACGAAGTAGAAGTTCGATTTTAAAGATCGAACTTAATATATATATACTTTTTCTATTATGTACGATTACATCACTGATCCGTCAATTATTACTTTTTCTGTCATAATTACGATTTGAAACAATTATCTCTTGTACAACATAACTTATAAATGAGGGAAAACCACCCATCGGGCTTTCAATTATATTTTGTGCCGGACATAGTCCCAATAAATTTAATAGATTGTGTCCGGAACAAAATATAATTGAAAGCCCGATGGGTGGTTTTCCCTTGACAGCAC